TATATTTACAAACTCTAATTTGATTTGATAATTAAAGAAAATATGCCTTATTTATATTGAGACGTAACTTTTAAAATGTTTTTTAATATTCATTCACATTTTTTCTCAAATATATGAGAACAATACACTAAAATGATTATTTTATGGTAATTAATATTTTTTAAAATCAGTTTGAAGTTTAATTTATATTTTAAATTTGATTTGATAATTAAATTTAAATTTTATTTATGAATACATATGAAAAAATTTTCATATTATATATAACACAAATGTCAAATTAAAAGTAGTTAAAAGATTATTAATTTTATACATCATACATCAAAAATAAAATACAAATATCATTTTTTAAATATTAAATATAAGAAGAATGCATATTTATATTACGCAATATATGAATTAAATAATAAAATAAAATGTAATATGTGATAATTTAAGAAAATAAAAGATAAAATATGATAATTTAAGAAAAATGAAAATTAAATAGTTGCACTGTAGTTCTCAAACATTTGATTGAATCAAGCATGCATATGAGTCAATACGAAACACTGATTTGGCGGCCTATACCAAATAAAATTATAATATGTCCGAATTGGTCTTTTATGCTCAACACATTTTTTTTTATCGTTAAATATAAATTGATAGATCAAAAATGAAGTTACAAGGACCGTTGTACGGCATACAAAAGTATGTGGGCAACTACATTCTTGGCTCCTCATTCACGGTTTCAAACTAGATGGCGAACCACAAGTTGGTTGCTTAATCTAAAGTCCCAAAGTACAAAAAATACAAGGCAAGTGCGTGGTACGGCGCGTAGGCCGGTGTGGCCTAGCATTTTCCAAGGGCCCTTCTTTCTGCGTCGGCAAGAACGTTCGAGTACATCATGAATAAGGTACGGTAAACGTGCGTCTGTATCTTGCGGATGACATGCTCCGACGTTTGCACTTCGTTTTCGAAAATTAACCTGTTGCGAGCGTTCCAAATAAAGTAGACCGTCGCTACTAAGGCTGCCTTTTTAATTTGGCATGCCATGATGCCCCGCGTACTTCTCTTTTTGTCCATTTCAAGGCGCCTTGAAGTGTCGACGGCCTATGGCGCAGTCCAGCCCACTTGCGAATCTCGCTCCAAATTTGGGTGCTATATTGGCAGGCGAAAAAGAGGTGTCCCACTGATTCCTCTGCACTGTTGCACAAGCTGCAAGTTGGGTCTTCGTCCCTGAATCCCAGCCGGTCTTTGGTGCGGAGCTGATTAAGGACTCCTAGCCACGTGATAAAAGAGTGTTTGGGTGTGTTGGCCGGGCCCCGGACAACTCTAGTCCAGTGAACAATATTGCCCCTCGGTCGTAAAAATTCATAGCATGCGCGTGTCCCATCCCGTTGCCCCCATTTCTCCATTTGCGCAAGAGTGCGGCTGCAGCATGTTCACTCCCGGCCTTTGCAATCAGGGCGTTACGGGTCTCAAATAAGCTCTTGAAAAGTGGCGAGTCACTCTTTTTGGTCGTCTAGTCCCAAATACTGCTGCCTTTGAGATAGACTTGGTCAATCCACTTGTACCAAAGTGTATCTTTTTTGCCTTGAATGTTCCAAAGCGTGCGCATGAGCAAAACTTGGTTCCAGGTCTTTATGTCCCGGAGTCCTACTCCTCCCTCCAAACGTGGCAAACAAATATTATCCCAAGCGACGTTTGCACTCTTCGAGCCCCAAAGAAATTGCCTACATAGCTGGATAACTTTGGTACGAACAAGTGTCGGTAGCTTAAAAATGCTCATCCAGAAGCATTCGATCCCTTGAATAACCGAGCGAATAAGCTCCAGTCGGCCAGCATAAGATAGCGTATGAGCGTGCCATGCTTTGATTTGGGATTCAATATGTTGCACCATATCATTAAACAGATTCACGGTTATACGATCTGCCGTGAGAGGGACTCCCAGGTACCTGAAAGGCATTGGTCCGCTTTGCAATTGCGTGTCATGAAGTATTGAAGCACGCTTAGCATTTTCCAAGCCTGCTAGATAAATGTTGGACTTACATATATTCATTTGGAGGCCCGTTTTTGCCTCGAAATCTTTGAGGCAGCGCATAAGAATTTCGATGGACATTGGGTCTTCTCTTGAAAGAAGCATTAAATCATCGGCGAATGCAAGGTGCGTGATTTTGGGGCAGTCGCACATCGAGTGGTAATTAAAATGAGAACCCTCTCTAGTGTTGTATGCGATTAATCTTGAGAGATGTTCTATGCAAATCACGAAAAGGTACGGTGATAGGGGGTCTCATTGCCGAAGTCCATGTGCTCCTTTAAAATGCTCCTTTAGACTCCCGTTGACTGAGACTGAATACGAAAAAGTTGTGACACACTCCATAATCAATTTCTGGAATGTCCTAGGGAAGCCAAGGCTTGCAAGCATTTGTTCCAAAAAGGCCCAAGAGACCGTATCAAAAGTTTTACGCAAGTCAATCTTGATTGTGCACCTGGGGGATACTCGTTTTCGTGCATATTGCCGGAGGAGTTGCTGCATAATGTGAATATTGTCGGACATATTTCTTCCCTTCACAAAAGCTGCCTGCGCCTTGTCAATGATTTTGTCAAGGACTTCACTTATTCTACCAGCAAGTAGCTTAGAACAAATCTTGTACAACGTGTTACAACAAGCGATGGGCCTGTAATCTGTTACCGATGATGTGTGGTTGGACTTGGGCACCAAAGTGAGTGCAGTGTGGTTCCACTGTTTCAGTAGCGAGCCAGATTGAAAAAAATCTTGAATTGCCACAGTCACATCCTCTCCCACAATGTCCCCACTTGTCAAGAAAAAAGAGGATGTATATCCATCAGACCCCAGAGATTTGTCTCCTGCTATGTCATTGAGCGTAGCTTTGATATCTTGTTCACTTACTGGTTCCATAAGCAAACTGCAGTCGGCATCTGATAGGTAAGCACCGGAAGAAATAATATGATGGTCAATGTCCTCGGTTTCAGCCCCAGTCCCTAGAAGCTGCTTGTAGTAGCACACAAACTCATTGCCAACTTCATCAAGTGAGGTGGTAGGTGTCCCATCTTGAGGGGATAAAGTTGCGCTTAGCCCTCTTCTTGACCTGTCATGATAAAATCGTGTGCATTTGTCACTCTTAATCTGAAAATGACACTTCTCCTTTTGCTGGTAGAATAACTTTTCAGATTTTGCCAAGTTAATGGCTTGTAGCCTCAGATTTGGCATCTTGGATTTGGTTTCATTGTCATCTGGGTGGTCATGTAAAAACTGTTGGGCACTCTTTAGGGCAGTTTTAGCAGCCTTTGCCCTAGTAGAGATGTGGGAGAATGACTCTTCATTGAGCTTCTTAAGTTTACTCTTTAAAGTTTTCAGTTTTGTGCTCAGCCGGAATTGCATTGTTCCTGTGATGTGTTGCCTCCAGATATCTTCAACATATGGGAAAAATTTTTCATGATGAACCCACATGTTGAAAAATCTCCAAGGAGTGCCTGCAGTGCTCCTTGCCTCAAAAATACTGACAATACATAGGGAGTGGTCAGAAATTCCTGAGGGTAGGAAGTTAGCATGAGCGAAAAGGTTGGCCTGTTCCCAAACATTGTCCACCATTGCTCTGTCAAGCTTGGACCATACCCGATTATTGGTCCAAGTATGAAATAATCCAGTTGAGGGGATGTCCACTAAGCCCAAAGAGGTACAAAGATCAGCAAGGTCTTGGGTGTCC